AAAGTAGAAATACTTTTAGACACCGGTGCGGACCAATCCTTCATAAGTGAAAGGCTAGCGCAACAGTTGAATCTGGATTGTTCAACGACACGCACATTGGTAATGCGGACATTCGGCGAGGAAATGCCCAAAACTATGACTTGCAAAGTTGCTACGGTTGAAATCTGGGACCAGATGGTCAAAAGCACATGCTGCGCTTATGCACAACGCCGACACTGACCGGTACAGGGAAGGCAGCTAAGCTAACTCAAGAGGACATGAAACATGACATTCACGCAAGAAGAAATGACTCCGTCGCCAGCCACGGTTAACACTCCCACCAGTTTCGACGGAGAGCTGGAACAAGCTATACACGACAAGGTTGGCATTCTGAAGGATCAATTCGCCAACTTACGGGAATACGGTGATACACTCAAGGCAAGAGAATCTTCAAGAGGACCGCCACTTCCGTGCTCAAGTACTTGTAGGAGTTGGAATCGCTACGATGTCTTATCTCTAACTTCATCACTCATTCCGCTGCCTCGGAATCGAGCGGAACACCGCGTCGACGACGACACTGATAGAATGGGAGCGATGAAACAACAGATCTACAACCAAGTGGACGAATCCGAGGTGATCCGGAATAACGAGCAATTTATGGAGCAGCTGAATGAATTTGATGAAGAGCCACCAATAGAGAATGACCTCGTGATGATCGATGAGGACGGCGCAGATGGACAACGAAAGTGACGCCGAAGAGAGCAAGGTCATGACAACGAAAGTGACTCCGAAATTCGCAATAAACAGCACAGAAATGTCAACAATGATGACCTGAATTCCGTAATGAAGCGGAAGGAAATGGCCCCGAAGAAGAAAGTGAAATCGTAAAGAAGAGCAAGGGAATGGCCCGAAGACGAAAGCGAAATCCGCATTGGCGCGCAGGATGGTAGAGCTCAACGACCAGTCCAGCAAGCTCGTGACGAGATAGCCGACTTGCAGCAGCAACTACGACAAGCAAGACAAGCAATGCTCGACTTCCGAATGATGATCAACGAACTAGAAAACAGGGAACGGTGTGAAACAAGAAAATTCGACGGAATAATCCAGAACCCTAACGAACGCTTCATGCCGTGCGCCTTTTGCGGACGAAGAGGGGATCATTATTCTGATTCTTGTTTAGTGTACAGGTTCACGGGAGAACGGAAAGAACGCGTAAATCGAGCGCACCTATGCACTATGTGCCTCGACTACGACTGTCCAGGAGGACGACGATGCTTGAAACGCAACACGAGATGCTACCACTGTGGACGTAGTGGGCACAATTCTGCGCTGTGTACCCTGCCAGAAAAGAGCGTATGTATCAATGATGAGCTGGAGCTATTGCAGCGACGTTACTATGACGCCTTCATCAGAGTTTACAGATTGGAAAGGAAATTACGAAGACGCGGAGTGGACCTGTGATTTGAGGATGCCTGGAGAACAAGTACTATCGTCCCCATCTTCAAGCAGAAGGGTGACGCGATGGACTGCTCCAACTACCGCGGTATCAAGCTGACCTCTTCATCGCAAGGCAAGTGATGGAGAAGTATCGAGAAAAGCGCCGACCCTGCTACCTAGCCTTCCTCGACCTGGAGAAGGCGTTCGACCGGCTACCACGAGCGGTACTGTGAGAGCGCTTAGAGAACGGAACGTGCCAGAACACCTGGTCTCGCTGGTGAAGGACATGTACGACGGGGCTAAGGCAGCCATACGCACCCCACATGGCCTAACGAAGGAAGCGGATATCACGGTTGGGGTGCAC